GTTCAGGTGTGTTTAGTAGATCAAACTTTATTGTATGATTTGTCTGTGTGTGTGTGTGTGTGTGTGTGTGTGTGTGTGTGTGTGTGAGAGAGAGAGAGAGAGAGAGAGAGAGAGAAAGGGAGAGAGTGATACACACGCAAATAGAAGTCTAAAGTCCAAGGCTGTTAAAGTGATTCCAGGCAGAGGAGTCAGTGTTTTCACCTGTGTTATCTCCTCGGAAGAAGGAAATATGATCCGTGTTACCAAACTGGACTTATCGCAAGGTAGTGATAATAATAGCAAACCCCTTGTTACATGTATTAATTTATTTGTTCCCTTCAACAACCTTTTGAGATTATTATTATTGCTCCTTACTTTACAGTCGAGGAGACAGGGGCAGAGATGCTAATAGAAGAACTGGATGTGAATCCAGGCAGCCCACCTCTACAGCCTGTTCTCTTACCCCCTTTACCTTAGACTTCCTCAGTACCTTCATAGTCATCACGTATGCAGGGATGCGTCAGTGCATGTGACGCAGAAAGTGAATGCTTTTTAGGGTCTGTGTCAGGAGTCTGTGGACAGGCTCTGAGATTGGAAGAGCCATCTCCAGAAAGACAAAGACATTTTCCCATCCCCTGCCCTTACTATTCCTTGGCTGTGGCAGTGGAATGGCTAATTAAGAGCACAGGTCGTGAAGTCAAAATTCTAGCTCCGCCATTTAGCTAATTATCTGAGGTTGGCCAAGTTACTACCCTCTGTGTGCTTCACTTTCCTCATCTATAAAATGGGGATATTAATACCTCCCTAAGACAGTTTCTGAAGGATTAAATGAGATAATGTTTAAGAAGCTCTTAACACAGTACCTGAGACATGGTAAGGACTCGATAAAGGGAGCTCTTCTTATTTCAAATTTATGATTATTTCTTATAAAGGTAAAACTAAATGGACTTGCTTTTGTTCACTGATGAAAAATCTTAAACACCTAGTGCCAGACGCTTGTCTAAGTGCTGATGGTACAGAAATAAATAATTCTTGGTTCCTGCTCTTGAGGAGCTCATATGGGGCGGGGAGGAAACCCATATGTACACGAATAATGAAGATGCAAGAGGAGAAGCTGCCTCCCTCACCCGTGCACAGGAGGCTGTGGGGAGTCGGGGGAAAGGGGACGCAAACAAGGCGGCTTCGTTTTGCCCTGCCTACTCCCTTCTCTGGAGTTTACCCTCCAGCAGTACCAGTCTGTCAGGTCCCAGATACACTGTGTTGTTTCATGCCACTGCTGTTCCCTCTGCCTGGAATGTTTCCTCCCCTTATGTATCTGGTAAATCCTCTTCATCCTTAGAAACCCTGGCCTCTTACTCTGGGAATCCTTGTCTGATTCCCAGTATTGGCCTTCCCTCCTCATTTGATCCCACAATAGGTAATTTGCTTGCTTTTCCTCCCTCCTGGAAGATGAACTTGCAAGGGCTTGTTATAGTCATCTCTCTATCCCCAGATCCTGGCACAGTGCCAGGTACATCGTGGGCCTGCCATCAACATTTATATATAAGAAAGAGATACTTGGGCTGAGTCCTGAAGGAGGAGTAGGACCAGAATAAAAAAATTGGAGAAGGGCATTTCGGGCACAGGAAACTGTATATATAATGGCGAAAGAGAATGGGGTTTTGAAAGTAGTGACTAGTTTTTGTGGCGACGTGGAAAATAAAATGAATGGCAGGAAGTAACCAGAGGTGATGCTTGGAAATTGGAGTCAAATAGCCAAGGGCACCAGAAGTCCAGCTACGGAGTGTGAACTCACGCCAGCCATGAAGGGCTGGAGAAAGGAGTGAGATGAGGAGATTCGTATTGCGGAGAGAGCACTCGGGCGACAGTGTCAGGGAGGGGTGGGGACAGCCGCGGTTGGAGGCAGGGACACAGCTCAGTGGCAGTAATGCAGGTAAGACATTCATGTGCGTCATTCAGAGACCTGGAGTTTTAGGCTTGTAAATTCTCATGTAGGAATTAAAATTTTGAGGCTAAAAATTCAGTGCTTAGCTCTCTCCC